CCCTGGAGGAAACGGAGCCTGGCCCGCAGCTCCGAGATGGTCATCTTCCCGCAATGGGAACATGACTCATCCGCGAACGCCACCTCAGCGTGTTTTTATGCCCAGACACGTGAGTCAGCGATCGTGACCATCACCCGGCACTAGGTAACGACTGCATCCAGAAACGCACGGGTGAAACGGCATCTTTAAAAAGACGATCCGTTGTCTTTACAAAGACGCACCCGCTTATTGTACTCGTTTAGAGAAATTGGCTCTTTTAGGGAAATGCTCTTTTACATGCTGAGACGCACAGGGGAAACGGCCGTTTGCAGCACGACAGGGGGTAGTGCAGCCTGAAGTGCGCAACCCACTCGACACAGGAACGACCACCGCTGAAGCGCCGTCCGCCAACACAAAAAGCTCCCAAGAGCGCGCTAGACTCGTTACACACGAAGCAGTTTGGTAGGAGCAGAACGATGTTGTCGCTCGGCTCCGAAGCGAAAAGCTGGTATGTGTTGCACCAGCTGCCTTTTTATGATCACGCTGTGATCAGCGGCAGCTGGATGCAATCATCGCATGCCAATGTGCATTAGCTCGTTTAGTTTACACGTGAAGTGGATTGGTCTCTCTAAGCGAGATCCCAATTCGTCGGTCACCGACGTGACTCGGAGTGACCGACTGAAAGGGAACTTTCCTTTATCTATTACCAAATTTGGAAGACAGCACTGGACAAAACATTGGCGGGGTAACAATAGACAATAGAGCACATGGGAAACATAATTACCAACTGACAGCCATGTGCTCCAGACAGACCAGGACACTGCATCCTCAATAAACAAGCTACTGGTAGTCCAAAATGCAGCGGCTAGAGTCCTTACCAGGTCAAGAAAATATGATCATATTACCCCAATTTTACAGTCTCTGCACTGGCTACCTATAAGGTTCCGTATCAGTTACAAAATATTATTACTTACCTATAAGGCCCTTAATGGGTTAGCTTCTGCATACCTAACTAGTCTTCTATCATGCTACAATCCATCACGTTCCCTAAGGTCGCAAAACTCTTTACAAAAGCTTCAGTCTGGATCCAGAACACCTGAGAAGAGATTATGCCAACCCCTCAAGGATCTCAGATGATGCCAACCCTGAAGCAACATACAGAACTAACAAATTTTGCCATAAGTTTGATTGCAACATATAATAATTGCTGTTAATAGTGTTCATCGTCTGTTTGATTACGTCTTTAATTTATTTTTCAATACATTTGTGCCATATGTACATTAACTGACAGTCACCACTGATAAGCTACTACTAAATATAATGTAGAAACTTAATTTTCTGTAAAGTTGCTTTGCAATGATTTGTATCGTGAAAAGCGCTATACAAATAAACTTGAATTAACATATTGGCTGTTTGTTAGTACTTATAAAGCACATATTCTGCATGACCATTTTCTACATCCTTAATCCTACCCAATACCTAAACTTAACAACTACCTTATTAACTATTAATAAGCTGCAAATTAGGAGTTTATTGATGGAAAAGTCGTAGTTAATGGTTTGTTAATAGTGAGAATTGAACCTTAAAATAAAGTGTGACCAAACATTCTTAAAGGATGCTAATAGGGTTGAGAAGTGAAGAAAAGTGTAAAAAAAGAGAAAGTTTTTAAGTACTTTATGAAAATAGACATATGACACAGTGAGAGAGGATTTGAGGGTGAGATTCTAAGAGCAGTCCAGTGGAATAATTTATGGGATATCGATCATTAACTCGGGTGACCAGATCGAAAGAGCGTGGCGTCTTGTCTCTTCTTAGCATTTAAAGAGCAGAATAAAAATAAAGTGCCAAGAACCCACAACAAATTGCTTAATGACTAAAAGAGCTCCTGCCACATAAGTTCTAGTGATATCAATGGCACATTAAAAACACCAAGCGTTACAATATTTTAATGATAGATAAAAACAGATTGGAAAATCCATCAAAGCAATAGATAGCGATTATCTGTAGCATGGCCATTGTAATATACATATACAGTATTACTGTGGTCAGAATCCATTCCTGACTCCCGAATGTTGTTTCAGTGATCGCAATGCATTTAGGATACATTTACATTTGACTTTAAAGGAATAGTTCACCAAAAAAATTTAATTGGCAGAAAATGTACTCAGCCTCAGGCCATCTAAGATGTAGATGAGTTTGTTTCTTCATTGGAACAGGTTTGGAGAAATTCAGCCTTACATCACTTGCTCACCAATGGATTCATTGGACTGAATGGGTGCCGTCAGAATTAGAGTTCAGACAGTTGATAAAAATATCACAATAATCCACAAATAATCCACATGACTCCAGCCCATCAATAATGTCTTGTGTAGTGAAAAATTGCATGCTTGTAAGAAACAAATCCATCATTAAGATGTTTTTAACTTCAAACCGTTGTCCATAAGCCATATTATTGTGAAAAAAGCCACTTTGTCTGAATCAGGAGAGAAATATGCACAGATCAAGCACTGTTTATAAGCAAAAACAGCCTAAAACAGTTCTAAACAAATATGTTGGAGGATTTTGATGTGAGAGGACAACTGGGGATGGGCAATTTGTCCAGAAGCAATGGTTAAACATTAAAACACCTTAAAGATGAATTTGTTTCTTGCAAACATGCAGCTTTTCACTTCACAAGACTTTACATGAACATGTGGATTACTTGTGGATTATTGTAATGTTTGGATCAGCAGTTTGGGTTTGGACTCTCTTTCTGAAGGCACCCATTCACATAAATTTATCCAAATCTACATCTTGGATTGCTTGAGGGTGAGTAAATTTTAAGCAAATTTTCATTTATGGGTGAACTATTCCTTTAATGTGGTCAAGTGTGATCCTCACTGCAAATGCATGTTAAAGTGTTAGTTCACCCAAAAATGAAAATTAGCCCATGTTTTGCTCACCCTCAAGGCATCCTAAGTGTATATGACTTTCTTCTTTCAGACGAATCCAATCGGAGTTATATTAAAAATAGTCCTGGCTATTCCAAGCTTTATAATGGCACTGGGCGGGTGTTTTTTTGAACAGTCCAAAAGAAGTCATCCCAAATGCGCTTTTCATTCACCCAAATTTTTTTTTGGGGGGTGAACTAACCCTTTAACAGCAGGTGTAATAAAGTTAATTATCTAGACACGTACTTCGTAATTCTGGGAAGACAATCATTCTTCATCCCAATCAATTCTATGTCCAACAAACTTTGTTGAGACAGTGACTCTTTCAAAATCAATTTACGAGACCTTCCACCGCTCATCTTCACCTAGAACACACACACCGGAGGCTTTTTTTAAAAATATACATCACATTTATTTCAACTGTTACAGACCAGCCTTGGTCTTTGTCTACAGAAATGTTTGGGCACGACAAGTGGAGTCCAAACCCTTTATCTCTGGTTCGTCCATCAGTCCCCCTGTTGCCCAGCAACCTTGCTAGTTCTCAATACCCACTGAACATAACAAAAATTAAAACTGAAGTTCCAAAACTTAGACGCAGCCGACCAAAACACACTACTGCTCCACATTTTTTTGTTTCTCTAAAGGTAATACAATGTACAAAAAGCAAGTCTGGAAATAGTAAGATTTTCAGCACTATAAAAATGTTTTTTTTTTCTTTGTTGTCTCCACACTCTCCACTTGTGAATAAGAAAACAATGCACTTATTTCTACTGAGCTTACTCTGTGTTTGCTTGTCAGGCAGCCAAAGGGTCAAATGGATGCAGTAATGTAACAAGGGAAGCCACAGCGGTACAGAGCAGTGGGCGGCCTCAGCAGCTTGGAGAGCTGTTCCGGAAGGCAGTCCCTAAAAAAACGTCTCTTACAGCTTTGTGGAGATTTTAAACAACTGTCTCCACACTTTGTACAGCACAATACTACAATGATATCCCAAACAGAAATCTGGAAACAAATATGACCAGAAAAGAAAAACAATGGAGTTGTCTGGATTTTGGAGGCATTTCTTGATGCTTGGAAAAGAAGCGCTTCCCTGTGGCTGACCCTTAGGTCCTGCTGATGGTACAGGCCAAGCAGGCAGTCTGTGTGGAGGAGGGAGAGCCCATCCCTTTCATACAGGGATGGCTTGGAGTGGTCTTCAGAAGGAAGGCAGAGGGAAGGTTTAAAGGAACAGTACATGACCCAGTAGCCTCACAAGGGAAAAGAAGGCACCATTAATGACAGGAAAAGAGCAGTCCATGCCAAGCCTGGAGGCAGATTCTGGACAGAGAGCTGTCCACTCTTCGCACGCACTCCTGGAAGTGAAACAAAAAAGAGAGAAATGAGACAAAGATAAATTTACCAAGGGACAAAAAAAAAGTAATCTTGAGATATGTACTGCATGTATTGTAACATCTGTTCACATGTGGCCCATGAAAAAAATAAAATAAAATTATAATTGAGACCTAACAAACTTATTTTTGGGAAATGAGTTGTTTCTTTACAAAACCACCAAATGCAATTCATTAAAAACTAAGCTAGTTTACTGGTTCTAGCTTAAGTCAGTCACTCAGCCTGACCAAGTTGTCAGCTTAGGTTGGTCATCAGCATATGAAAATACTACAACACTTTTGGCTAGATCAGAGAAACCCCTGTAACCTAGATAAACATCCAGATAAACAAATACAATATTTATAAAATAAAATATATTTTTGATTATTTAATTTTAATTGTTACTTTATTGTTTTTATTTGTATATTTTTATTTAAATGATTTCTATGCTTCATGAACTCACGAACCCCCAACTTTCGTGGAAGTCGTGGCCTAATGGTTAGAGAGTCGGACTCGTAACCCAAACATTGCGGGTTCGAGTCTCGTACCGGCAGGGAGTGTAGGTGGGGGGAGTGAATGTACAGCGCTCTCTTCAATACCACAACTGAGGTGGCCCTTGAGCAAGACACCGAACCCCCAACTGCTCCCCGGGTTTTTTCGCCGCAGCAAAAAAAATGGCTGCCCACTGCTCCGGGTGTGTGTGCTCACCGCTGTGTGTGTGCACTTTGGATGGGATAAATGCAGAGCACTAATTCCGAGTATGGGTCGCCACATGTCACGTCACTTTCACTTTCACTTTCCCCTTAAAAAATTCTCAGTGGTTTTCAAACCCCAGTTTCGGTTATATATATATATATAAAAAAAAAAAATAATAAAAAAAATCCAAGTGGCAAACAGGATTATTCTATCATGACAACTCTCGGGAGATTTTAGCATGGTAATGGATATGACAATGTTAATGTATTTGGTCTTGGCGGAATAGATCTGCTACGCTGCTGATGCTGAATTGCTTCTGCTGTTGTTTATTGCTGTAGTTGTAGATTATTGTTGCTGCTGCTGCAAGTAAATACACTGATACTGTGCTTTGAGTATTTAAGACATACAGCTGCTGCACAAATAGCATATAAAATAACTCGTAGCAGATCTATACAGGTGGAGCTGGGGAAGGTGGAGGGTATTCAGAGGACCCCTTAAAGGCGTGCTGCAAAATGCTCAAGTGAATGCTAACCAGCCATTTAAATGTAAAGCAGTAAGCTCATTGGCTGCGTATGCAACATGGACCAATCAGCTTGTGCTAAGCCATTTAATGCTGTGAATATAATCAGTTTATGTAAAAAACCCATCAGCCTGCGCCATCTAGAGTGTCATGACACATCTTGGCATTTAACTATAACCATTTTATTTATTTATTTATTTATTTAGTTGAATCTGAAATAAATGCAAACTGAAATGCAAAACTGAATAAATATTTTATTTCAGAAATATTCTTTTCATGAAGTTTAACTTGATGTACTGTCATAAAAATAAAAATATAGACATATTAAAAAAGAAAAACAGATAAAAAACATCTTGGGTTACTTGCATAACCCATGTTCTCGGAGTAGGTAACGAGACGCTGCGTAGCTATGACGCAATGGGAATGCCCTCTGGGTGTGCCGATTGTCTGAAGCCCGTATTGAATCACACCGGCCAGCAACAAAGCATATTAACAGCTGGGGAGATTTTCTCCAATGGCTAGAGTGGTCCACGTAGAGCTTCAAAGCTCAGACAGAGCAGAGCATGTGAAGTCTCACATCCTCACCTGAAACAAAAGGAGGAGGATGGAAAGAGTAAAGGGTAACCACCTGGGAGTGAAATGATGTGGACAAAACCTTGGGAACATAGCCCGACCTGGGTCGTAAGGTTACTTTGACAAGACCCAGTGCAAAGTCCATACACACCTCATTGACAGAGAGAGCTTGCAAATCCCCAACTTGCTTCAAAGAAGTTAGCGGCAACAAAAGAGTAACGTTGAGAGCCAAAACCCACTCTGGAGCTGACTCCAAGTGCTCAAAAGGAGCTTCCATTAAGCCCTCCAGGGCGACTGATAAGTCCCAAGAAGGAAGTCCAAAGTGGCGTGCTGGCCTCAGCCGCCTAACCACACGCATAAACGCGGAGACCAACCGATGTCTCCCCAAGGGGACGTCATCCAACTCTCTCTGTGTGGCAATGGCCACAACATAAACTCTCAGGGTAGTAGCAGCCGCTCCCGCCACAAGATTTTCGGGGTCCACCGCATGGGCTAAACAACATGACTCAACAACTTTCCACTTGGAGGAATACAGCTTCCTTGTGGAAAGGGCTCTGGCACTAGCAATGGTCTCCTGAACATCTGCAGGAAGACTAGAAGTCAAAGCTGGTGGCCTTTGATGGGCCATACCCACAGCTTCCAGATCTCAGGTCGAGGGTGCCAGATCATGCCAGAACGGCCAGAACGGGGCTACGAGCTGGATACGGATACCACTCTCCTTCACCCTGCACAGGACTGCCAGAATCAGCTTGACAAGTGGAAACGCATACAGTCTCAGGTTCGGCCACGGGTGAATGAACTCATCTATGCCCAGAGGTGCTGGGGAACTCCTGGGCATTGGGACGACTCCTGCGACGCAAAGAGGTCCACCTCCGCCCTGCCTAACAAGTCCCAAATCTGGGCTACTGTTTGGTGGTTCAGCATCCATTCCCCCGATCTGAGCTTCTGTCTCGACAGAAAATCGGCTGCGAGGTTCAAGGCTCCCAGGACATGAACCGCTCTCAGGGAGAGGAGCCTGCCTTGGGCCCAAAGGAAAAGACAACGTGCATGCCTGTCCAGGGTGCGCGACCGTGAACCCCCTTGGCTGTTTATATGAGATACTACCACCATGTTGTCCGTACTGGCAGTCACGTGACACCCCCTGAGTGAGGGGAGAAAGTGAATCAGTGCCAGAAAGACGGCTCTCAGCTTTAGGCTGTCTATATGCCAGGAGAGGAACTCTCCCGTCCAAACTCCACATGCTGGTCTGTCCTTGAAGACCGCACCCCAGCCCGTCAGAGAGGTGTCCGTCGTAACCATTTGGCAATGCTAACAGCGCTTATACTGATCCCTCTCAGAAGAAAGAGGGGGTCCCGCCATATTGAAAGGGCGCAGAAGCAACTGCGCGACACCTTTAATAAGCGAAAGGCTGGTCCTGTTGAGCGGATCCTTAAATGTTTCGTCCACCAAAGGAACAGCCTCATATGAAGCAGCCCCAGGGGCAGCACTGGGGAGGCTGCAGCCATGAGGACCAAGAGCCTGCGACAAGTGCTCACAGACACATGATGGCCTAGCTTGAAGTGGGCTAAGCATGCGTTGAGGCTGGAAATCTGGGCAGGAGCCAGACGGACCTGCATCTGAATAGAATCCAAGTGAACCCCAAAGAAAACAGTCAGTTGTGAGGGGGTAAGGACATTCCTTTTTGGCATTCTTTCTTAGGCCAAGAAAGAAGTGAAGAAGAACATCCCTGTGGTAACTAACTCACTGGAGTGGGCTAAAATGAGCCAATCGTCCAGATAATTGAGTATATGGATGCCCTGGAGCCTCAACGGGGCCAGAGCAGCATCCATGCACTTGTGAATATCCTTGATGCCAAAGCCAGGCCAAAGGGAAGAACCTTGTACTGGTAAGCCTTTCCCCCAAAGGCGGACCTGAGGAACTTCCTGTGTCGCCGAGCGACCTGATTATGAAAATGGGCATCCTTCAGGTCAACAGTGACAAACCAGTCTCCTGCACAAATTTTGTGACATAATAGCCTTCAGCGTCAACATCTTGACCGCTGGAGGAACCTCCTTTATCACCCCCTTGTGGAGGAGGGAAGATAGTTTCTGCTGTAGCACAGAATCCTCTGAGGCGCTGCTCACTCCAGTCAGGTGAACCCCGTCGAAGCAGGGGTTGGGGGTGTGTAAACAAAACTGAAATGAGTAACCAAACTGAAATGTACGGAGAACCCAAGGCGATACACCTGGTAGACGCTTCCATTCGTGAAGAATTGCGATAGAGGAAGCAGAGTGTTGCAGTCTACAGGACATACCTGTGGGGGGTGCCGAGGTGGTCCAGAGGGGATTACATCATCATCTACTGTGAAGAGAGCCTCTGGCGTCCTGATGCGGGATGAGGAAGCCCACAAGGACCGAGGTGAGGGCCTGGTCTGTGACTGGTACAGGGTCTGCTGGCTCTGGGAGAGAACTGAACGTGTCTCCTATCACGTGAGCAGCAGGTGACAAAGAAATAGGTGGTAAGGGAAGAAAGACTGGTGAGTCTCCCACCCCCCATGTCGAAAGAGAGTGAGACTGAAAGATTATTGCACACCGAAATGCACTGGGTGGCAGATGTGACAGAACCGAATGAGGAGAGTGTGTTAGAAGCAGGCAGAAATGCATGAACTGTCTGGCCCCCCGAAATTTGTGAAGAATAACACAGAAAATCTGTTTGAACAACAAACCAGTGAGTTATTATAAGAAATACACAAAAATAATATAGTAAGACACCAATTTGCAATATATAAGCAGCAAAACGAGCAGTTTTGTAAGCTAAAAATAGCTGGAAGCAAATGAGACTGGAAGCAAGACCCAAAAAATGTACAAACAGCCGCCCGCGTGCTCCACAGAAACCACTAGGTTGGTGAAGTCAGCAGCTGCTTTTTTTTGCGTTAGTAAGGCGGGTGGAAAATGGCTGCTTCCAGGATCTGGAGATTTCACCCAGGATAGAGGGCTGAAAAAGGGCAGCTTTCTCCACGCAGGCCTCGAATTTGGGCCGCTCAGAAACCGCTCGTTGAGTTTAGACTACTGGGATTCGTGGCGCTCATCGGGGCAATCAATAGAGGGCTTCTCTGTGGCGCGCGCCAGCACGTCTACAAGCTCTGAGTAGGCAGCGGAAGGCTTCCTGACCGCTAGGCGGGAGAGCGTCGGCTGAAGCAGGCCCGAAGTCCTCTGAGTCCTCCGGGCTAGAGCATAAATAATCATGCGAGAGTTCAACCGGCGAATCCGCGCACACGGGCTCGGGCGAGAGAGGGAGAGAAAGGGCGAGGCCCGCCTCGAGCTCTCCATCACCTTGGAATTCCATGCATTTCACCGCAAGGAGAACAGTGTTCCACTATCGATGCAAATGAAGAAAGCTCAACGAAAAACAGTCCGAATATCGGGCAAGAAAAGCCACAACAGCAGCGCTAAAATGGTCGCTTCATGAAGGCAGAGAAATCTGAGGAGCAGATGGTGCGTTCGTCAGTATAAGGATGGCGACGTAAGAGCATCGAGGCGGCACCCGCGCCATCAGCCAATGAATTGGCGTGATTATATATGGGCTTCAGACAATCGGCACACCCAGAGGGCATTCCCATTGCATCATAGCAACGCAGCGTCGAGTGAACCTATGAAAGAGAACACAAAATTACTAAACCTTTAACAGAAAATAAAATTAAGAAAAAAATAAATATTAATAAAACTATTAATACATTAATGAAAACTATACTAAACCAAATATAACTATACTATACTACTGTAAATGGTATCAAAATTTTATTAAAATACCACTGGTGGCATATCTTAAATATTTAAACCTTACATTAATCTTTAATCTTTCACGTTTATTGGTGTTTACAAACCAAAAATAAATAGAATGTCACTGAAAATGTGCACACACTGACATCAATGTAGTTTTCAAAGAAATAGTTGAATGTATGAGGATTGAGTATCAGCTACTAGCAACAACAGCGAACAACAGACTCGGTGATCTGTGCCAATTTGAAAGGGGCTTAAGGCTGAAATTATCTACAAAACAATGTTTGAAAGGAGTCTGATCAACTTTAAAGAGGTTTGAGCTGAATGAACTGCAGAAAGTTGTCCAGAAGTAAAAGGCCATACAGAGCTACTCTGCAAGCACTATAATTACATTTGACATAGCAGAAAGAAAATACAGGTCTTGGGAATAAGTAACCGAAAACTAATTTAATAGTATTTGCTCTAAAATAGCCCACTAGTCCTAGTAGTATAATGATGAACTTTAAATTTGTCATTCCTTTTGAGAGTGGAGGAAAATCTAATTGGCTGTGTAGGTGTGCAGAGGGAAGGTAATTAAAGAGGAATTAAGCCATCAAGCCTACCGCCATACGTACACATCTTCAAATCTGAAAAACCACACAGTGAACGCTTACCTGAGGAGGTGAGCACTCTGACCTGAGCGCTAGCGGCTCCTTCACCTCCTTCACTGACTGCGCGCACCTCAATGATGTATGTGCCCCCCTCAGGTAGTGTCAGGACCACGGCTGAGTTTGAAGTCCTCATGACTTGGCTGTGGCCCCGTCCCTCTTGACGCAATAATACCTGCAATGGAAAAAAAAATATTGAACGCGTGCAGCGACGTTGTGTTTTACTTTACATCCACGGTATCTGTGCAATACCAACCTTGTACCCAATGACTTCTGACTCATTGTCCCTTGCTTTCACTGGATCCCAGGATAGAGAAACATTGTTCCCCTCCTGAATCCACATCAGGTTGCCTGGGGGTAGACTTGGGGCTGAAAAGAGAGACAGATAACCAAACAGAAAGATAAAAAACCCATTTAAAAATGAAGGTCTGTAATGAGCAATGATCACATTAATTGACAAGACAAATTATCCTCCTCTCAAAACCAATTTCCATTCATCCATCATTCGTGTGAACCGGTCACAATGCGCCAAGTTTCCAGCAACAAACATTACAGAAACTGTATTTGATGTGTAATGTGCAGTTATATGGAGTGGGTGGATTTGCAGTAAGCTATCAATAGATAGCCAGAATTAACCCAGAAAGGAGCACTTCAGATCCCATCATCCTGAAGTCAGTGGGTTTTTTAATTGGGTTTTTCTTGAAAACGGCAGTGGCAAACAAGTGGCTAAATGGGACTATTTTCTTTTTACTTCTGGTAATTGTATTTAGGCTTCAAAATTCATAAAAGCTGTGTTAATTTAAACAAAACCTGTAAGAATCATAACGTTGTATTGGTTACACAGTTTATTGTCTGCAATAATCCCATGCTATGACACCACCTCCACCATGCTTTACAGATTAGGCTGTATGGTTAGGATCATTTGCAGTTCCCTTTTTTTCTCCACACTTTTGCTTTCCCATCACTTAGATAAAGGTTAATCTTTGTCTCATCTGTCCATAAAACTCAGTTCCAAAACTCTATTGGCCCACCTTTGTGCTTTTTTGCAAACTCTAATCTTGCCTTTCTATTTTTGGTGCTGGTCAGAGGTTTGCATCTTGCTGTGTAGCATCTGTAATTCTGTGTCAAAGTCTTCTGCAGACAGTAGAATGTCAGAGCATCAGCCCAGCTTTCTGGAGGATGTTGGCGATTTTACAGACATGTATTTTAGGGTTAATTTTCACAGCTTTTATGATTTGTCTGTCATCAACTGCTGTTGTTTTCTCAGCCGATCAGATTGTTGTGGGTTGCTGATGTCGCCGGTGGTTTCCAAATGCTTGATTTCTCCATGCCCTTTGTTTTTGGTATAGCTCTAATTGACCTTCTCTTTTCTTTTAGCATCCAAATTGCTTGCTTTTCTCTCAAAGTCAGCTCCCTTGTCTTCATCCTGGTTTGTGTGTGTCATCATCGAATGCAAGACTCAGAATGCAGAAGCAATGGATATAACTGATACGACACATTCCCTGCTTTTATTATCTGAACAATTGATGCAACAGGACAGAGCTGACCACTTAGAAAGACCTGTGAGGCAACTGTTCCAATACTTATGCTCACATCAGATAGGGGGATTAAACTCTAAAAGTGCTGATCTTCTTAGCTGGCAAAACATCTGTGTTGAAACACCCAATAATAAAATGTGACATTCTGTAGTTTTGTCTCATATTCATCTTTTAATCATATTTACAGATTTATTGACTCCACAGCAAACAGAGCAATTTTTTTGTCTTTACTGTCCCAATACTTATGGAGGGCACTGTAAGGGATAATCAACGGTTTGTCGTGCATTAAAGGATTTTAAATGCACGACGGATTGCCTCCGCGAAGTGCATTTAAAATCCTTTAATGCACGGCAAGCCGTTGAGTATCCCGCTTATTCCATGGCCATTTGCCAAGTTATAGACAAGTTAAAACTACTATTGCTCTTTGCAGCGCAATATTTGACTGGAAGGGTAAAAATGACAGTTATTTTCGTCAGTTATGGTTCGTTAGCTCTAGCATTCTGCCCGCTTCAAATCAGACACAGAGATGAAATAGTGTGGTAAGATCACATTTATTTGAATGAATTATAGCATTTATTTCAATTAATTATCGATGGAGAGAGAGAGACAGAGAGAGACAGAGAGAGAGAGATGACAGTTGTGTGTGCGGTACCTGCATCTGCGTGTCTCTCTACAAACAATTAATTACTTCAAAAACAGCGATTTTACCACCTCGTTGAGGAATATAATGTAGCGATCTAGTATCTAGGCTATTTTATTAATAAAAATCGCGGGGAAGCGTTGACAACAAGTTTAAGTGTGTGCGCAGCACAATCTGCGATCTCCGACCTCTATCTCTCCCCCTCTCTCTCTGTGTGTGTGTGTGTGTTTGTGTGCATCAATTAAAGCAGCGCATTAATATGGAACAGTGATTAAACTGACTTGAAACTACCTGTGCATTAAAAGGTTTTAATGCAAACCTGCCAGCCAATCAGAATCCAGTATTCAGACAGACCATGGAATAATGTTTACTAGTAAACTTATGAAACATTACCTAATGATTTGTCAGAATGACACAACTATTTTAAAATTATAATGAAGAAGATAAGTCTTATTAAAATAGTTATTTATTTGATTGTTTGTTTATTTATAGTTAGTTATTTTTAAATGTATTTTCTTTTAAAGAAAACCTTGAGTAGTTGGCATAATAACCTTTCATTATTACTTCTTGATGACTGTGTGTCCAGGTCAGTACGTCTCTTAAAATATCAGATAATTTAATCTTTTTAAGAGAAGTCAAAGTTAGTTCAGTAACATATGTGGTGTATTTTCACCAACAATATATATTTATGAATTAATTATTCATGATATTTGTAAAAATATTTTTATTGTTAAAATATTTCAAAAATCTACAGAAAATACAGATTAAGTGTCTACAGTCAGATGTATTTAAGGTATGAAAAATTTTATTACTTTTTACTTTTTATATTTTCAGTCACTTTTGTAAAAAACGGTGCATTTAAAAAAAAAAAAATATATATATATAAAACCAAGAAGAATACAAACAGTACATTTCTAAGAGCTTTCAGTTTGTGTTTTTATTCATTCACTCATTCATTTCTTGGACAGTCTTATTTGTCATTGACATTGACATTGAATTGAATAGTTTATAATGCTTCCAAAGGAGTTGTTTTAAGGGAACTCACCATTTTTCTTAGTGCTAATCTTGATGGGTGAGCTGGCTGGTCCTTGACCGACGCTGTTGAATCCCTTCACAGAGATCAGATACTGTGTGTTTCCATCCAGCCCTGTCAGCAGCATGGTCGTCTCATCCCCCTTTGTCCTCTTCTTCTTCCCCATCTCCTCTTGCTCCATGTCCTTCCAGGAGCTCACCTGTTCCCAACAAGACAATCTGCCTAACTTTCTGCCTTTCATTCATTCAAACATTTTTGTAGTGATAAAGAAAATGAGACTGAGTTGCCTCAGTAAATGACAAAGTGAGAGTTGCCAATTTCATGTGATATTGTGTCATTTGGTTTAAATAACCGTCATACATTTTGCATGAAGGGCATAATAGGCAAGCAAGTAATAATATCTCCCTGTGATGAAATACGATAATCTTTCTCACTGGAGGACACAACTGTGTAATTTCACTGCAGAGAATAATTTTCTTCATTCAGATAGCATAACAGTCGTGGAAATGATGAAGAAAATAAAGGGTTCACGATCACAAATATGCCTCCGTTTCAAAACCTGATGAGCTGCCTTGCTGTCATAGGCAGATGCCTTCTCAGACAGCATCCTAACCATCACAAAACATCATAAGTGACGGTTTGGGACCTTCTGCATAGACAGCGATAGTCATACAAACACTGCTCCTCAGGAGACTTGACCTTTGAATTTTACTGTTAGCATTTTGCTAAGCTAACTTTAGCAAAAATGCTGAATTATACTTTAATGGCCTTAAAATAACATAGCACACACATTTACTGTATTGAGAAACATGGTTTGTTTTTACATTTACAGTTAGTAATTTAGCAGATGCTTTTATCCAAAGCGACTTACAAATGAGGACAACAGGAGCAATCAAAACCAACAAAAAAGCAATAATATGTAAGTGTTGTCTTGGTTAGTCTAATGCAGTACATGTATTAAGTTGTTGTTGTTTTTTTAAATAATAAATAAAAAGAAAGTAAGTAAATAGAAGAGAAAAGAATAGAGAATGCTAGTGTTAGAGGGTCAATTTTTTATTAGATTGTACTTCACTGTTATTTTAGTATCACTGAGATACTATTATATTTATTAATTATTTGAATCAGTTTTTATTTTCAAATATCCCATGTTGATTTTATTGAAGCTTTAATAATTTTGCTGTTTTTTAATCTTTTTTTTGTATTTTTTTTTTAATGTGTACATAGTTTTTGTATACATTTTTATTTCAGTTTTAGTTTGTTATTTTAGTACATTGTTAAACTAAATTGAAATTAGAAATGCTGCCTTAGCAATTAGCTTAATTAATTATAGTTTCAGTTTTAATTAACTATTATAACCCTGGTACTACACAAGTTTGGTCAGTACTTAAAAGAAATTGACTCTTTCCTTCAGCAAGGATGCGTTTAATTGATCAAAAGGAACAGAACAGACATTTATTCTGTTACAAACATTTCTTTAAAATAAATTCTGATCTTTTAAACTTTATATTTATCAAATAATCCTGAAAAAAATGCATCACGGTTTCCACAAAACTGTTAACATTGTCAAAATTAATAATAATAAGAAGGGTTCCTCAAGCACTAAATCAGCATAGAATGATTTCTGAAGGATCATGTGACACTGAAGACTGGAGTAAATATATAAAATGATTTAATATACACTCACTGGCCACTTTATTAGGTACACCTTGCTAGTACCGGGTCGGACCCCCTTTTGCCTTCAGAACTGCCTTAATTCTTCGTGGCATAGATTCAACAAGGTTTTGGAAACATTCCTCAGAGATTTTGGTCCATATTGACATGAAAGCATCACGCAGTTGCTGCAGATTTGTCGGCTGCACATCCATGATGCAAATCTCCCGTTCCACCACATCCCAAAGGTGCTCTATTGGATTGAGATCTGGTGACTGTGGAGGCCATTTGAGTAAAGTGAACTCATTGTCATGTTCAAGAAACCAGTCTGAGATGATTTGAGCTTTGTGACATGGTGCATTATCCTGCTGGAAGTAGCCATCAGAAGATGGGTACACGGTCGTCATAAAGGGATGGACACGGTCAGCAACAATACTCAGGTAGGCTGTGGCGTTTAAACGATGCTCAATTGGTACGAAGGGGCCCAAAGTGTGCCAAGAAAATATCCCCCACACCATTACACCACCACCACCAGCCTGAACCGTTGAGACAAAACAGGATAGATCCATGCTTTCATGTTCTTTACGCCAAATTCTGACCCTACCATCTGAATGTCGCAGCAGAAATCGAGACTCATCAGACCAGGCAATGCTTTTCCAATCTTCTATTGTCCAATTTTGGTGAGCCTGTGCGAATTGTAGCCTCCGTTTCCTGTTCTTAGCTGACAGGAGCGGCACCCGGTGTGGTCTTCTGCTGCTGTAGCCCATCTGCTTCAGGGTTCGACGTGTTGTGCGTTCAGAGATGCTATTCTGCATACCTTGGTTGTAACGAGTGGTTACTGTTGCCTTTCTATCATCTCTAACCAGTCTGCCCATTCTCCTCTGACCTCTGACATCAACAAGGCATTTTCGTCCACACAACTGCCGCTCACTGGATATTTTCTCTTTTTCGTACCATTCTCTGTAAACCCTAGAGATGGTTGTGCGTGAAAATCCCAGTAGATCAGCAGTTTTTGAAATACTCAGACCAGCCCGTCTGGCACCAACAACCATTCCACGTTCAAAGTCACTTAAATCCCCTTTCTTCCCCATTCTGATGCTCGGTTTGACCTTCAGCAAGTCGTCTTCACCACATCTAGATGCCTAAATGCATTGAGTTGCTGCCATGTGATTGGCTGATTAGCAATTTGTGTTACCAAGCAATTGAACAGGTGTACCTAATAAAGTGACCGGTGAGTGTATGTTCACTATATGAAGGCCAAATGTTAACGTTGCACAAGATGTCAGGGGCTTTATCTTCCAGTGGAAGATTCACACTTGAAATTGATATTAAAATATCAATTTAATGAGAATTTGTGTCTTTTTAATTGTAGTTTCCATTTTATAAAAGCAATAAAGCACTTGATGCTGCATTGTGAATGCATTAATGAAATTCTTACAATAAATTAATAGTTTTTTTTAAATTTAGTGACACTCAATTTTTGTCTGGATTTGTTTATTCAAAAATGATTAAAATGAAATAAATAAATATATATATATATACAGTGGGTACGGAAAGTATTCAGACCCCCTTAAATTTTTCACTCTTTGTTATATTGCAGCCATTTGCTAAAATCATTTAAGTTAATTTTTTTTCCTCATTAATGTACACACAGCACCCCATATTGACAGAAAAACACAGAATTGTTGACATTTTTGCAGATTTATTAAAAAAGAAAAACTGAAACATCACATGGTCCTAAGTATTCAGACCATTTGCTCAGTATTTAGTAGAAGCACCCTTTTGATCTAAGACAGCCATGAGTCTTTTTGGGAAAGATACAACAAGTTTTTCACACCTGGATTTGGCGATCCTCTGCCATTCCTCCTTGCAGATCCTCTCCAGTTCTGTCAGGTTGGACGGTAAACGTTGGTGGACAGCCATTTTTAGGTCTCTCCAGAGATGCTCAATTGGATTTAAGTCAGGGCTCTGGCTGGGCCATTCAAGAACAGTCACAGAGTTGTTGTGAAGCCACTCCTTCGTTATTTTAGCTGTGTGCTTAGGGTCATTGTCTTGTTGGAAGGTAAACCTTAGTTCCAGTCTGAGGTCCTGAGCACTCTGGAGAAGGTTTTCATCCAGGATATCCCTGTACTTGGCCGCATTCATCTTTCCCTCAATTGCAACCAGTCGTCCTGTCCCTGCAGCTGAAAAACACCCCCACAGCATGATGCTGCCACCACCATGCTTCACTGTTGGGACTGTATTGGACAGGTGCCTGGTTTTCTCCACACATACCGCTTAGAATTAAGGCCAAAAAGTTCTATCTTGGTCTCATCAGACCAGAGAATCTTATTTCTCACCATCTTGGAGTCCTTCAGGTGTTTTTTTAGCAAACTCCATGCGGGCTTTCATGTGTCTTGAACTGAGGAGAGGCTTCCGTCGGGCCACTCTGCCATAAAGCCCCGACTGGTGGAGGGCTGCAGTGATGGTTGACTTTCTACAACTTTCTCCCATCTCCCGACTGCATCTCTGGAGCTCAGCCACAGTGATCTTTGGGTTCTTCGCTGCCATGTGATTGGCTGATTAGCAATTTGTGTTACCAAGCAATTGAACAGGTGTACCTAATAAAGTGGCCGGTGAGTGTATATTAAATAGATTTTGAAATATATTGAAATAGAAAACAATTATTTTACGTTGTAATAACATTTAACAATATTAGTGTTTTTACTTTATTTTTGATCAAATAAATGCAGCCTTGGAGAGCATAAGAGACTTCTTTCAAAAAAAAAAAAACCTTACCGACCCTATACTTTTGAATGCTAGTGTATTCTGTATTTGTCAATATTGCATTAATTAAAAGCATATATACACAATTAATATTTCTCTAACTTTTTCTACCACATGATGCTGTCTAGATAGGCGGCTCACTAGGTCTTGGCACAAAACCATTTATCCATTCATTTCTCCGTCTCTTACCTCATATCCTTGGGGTCTTCCAGGGCCAGGATTGAGCGGCTTCCACATCACTTTAATTTCAGAGGAGGAGATGGCAAACGCCTGCACTTCTGAAGGAGGCTCCCTGGGCTCTGCATTTAAAAGCAGTACACTTTAGATTTCACAGCATATAATAACACATAAAGCACATCACCAGTCATACGCTCTATACGCCTGCTTGATGAAGTGTTTGGGATACATTTCATCAGTATCTCTTATGTGTTAATAGTCAGAGCGAAGAATCTAAGCGGATGTAAATGGTAAGTTGTGAAGCCCTGTGATCGTGAGGGAGAATCCCGCTGAGAGAAACGCTGTGAGACTGAGAGGTGACAGAGACACAGAACATCCATCATATTAGCAGCAGTCACAGCAAACGCCACTCGCACGGTTACCATAAAATCAGCCTGACACAGTGTGATCACACACTGAAACAGTTTGGTCCTCCTCATCATTTCTCTGTGGGCAGTGAAAGTTTTTTTTTTTTAAAGGTCAAAAAGGTTCTCAAAGGTTTTATTTTTATTTGTTTTATAAACACACACATACAATTGAGATTAAGCTATTTGAATGGATAGTTCACACTAAAAATTTAAATGATGACATTTACCCATCAAGTGCAACAAAAAATGTGAAATTCTGCCAAAAGCACAATAAAAGCAGGCTATATGACTAATGTATCATTTTAAGTAAAATCAGTTGATCCGGTTCACAAATGTGACTCATTCGGTTATCAAGTTCAACTCACTCTATGATCCCATCAAAATGGTTGATCAGCTTAAGAAAAAGTATAGCACACGTCATACAGACAACTTTTATTATATTTGAGCTCTGAGCTTGAAAGCCCCTAGTCACCATCTACTGTCATTTTATAAACACAGTCTTCAAAATATCTCTTTTTGTGTTCCACAGAAGAAAACCATCAGGGTTTAGAATATGACTTTGAACAATTTTGTTTCCTATTTTATGGAACCACTGTTTTTTTTAACCAATCACAAAGAAAAAGTGACTTGGTTATCATAAAATCAAGATACAATTGAAATGCATAGACTTGTGTAAATGAAGTGTGCTTATGTGTATTGAATGTGTACTTGTAGTGTACTTCAACTCTTAAAAGTAAAAAAAATAAATAAATAAAACAATAATAATATAATATTAATCAAATTAAAGTCACTTAAGTGTAGTTAAAGAAAGTACACTTTCATGGCTGTTTCTAAACAAACCTAAGTACATTTAATAAGTGCATTTTAAAATAAAACTTTTAATTTGACATTATTACAAAGTACATTTTAAATAATTGTTTTATAAATTTTTTTGTCATGTTTTAACACAATTACTTTGCTTTGTTTACTCACATACTACAGCACATGTAAAATACTGGATTATAATTTTAACTGTGTTATTTGATATTACCTTTAAAGAGAATATATTTTTATCACAAATATATTTAAATACATGACATACAAGTTTCACTAGAAATACTATTCAAGTATTTATAATTTAGTATTCAATAATAATAAATAATTAAATAACATTATTAAATAATTTATTATTATATATTAAAGTTTTAGTTTACTATAAATGCTTGTCAGACATTTGTCAGTACACTTTAGCCATATTAAAAAAAAAATAAAAAAAATAATAATACCTACTTATGTGGGCCAAAAAAGCACTCTAATGTTCAACTAATTGCATTTAATATAAAATTAAACTATAATACATTTTCGGTTAACTATAAATAACTGTGAAATTACATATAAAAATGTACTTATGTGGGACAGAAAAGCACTGAAATGTTCAACTAATTAAATTGAATATCAATTTAAACTATAATACATTTTCTACATTTTAACTGTGAAATTACATATAAAACTGCATATAATTCCTACTTATGTGGGCCAAAAAAATCATTCTAAAGTCCAACTAATTGCATTTAATATCAATTTAAACTATAATACGTGTTCAGATAACTATAAACATTATATTCAGTTCACACTTAAGTATATTCTTTTATTCTTTTTATTTTCCTAATAAGTATTCTCAAAAAAAGTTGTATTAAAATGTATTTCTTTTTGACAAAGGTGTATAATGTTTGCTCTTATTGTGTGTAATGTCTTTTGACAGTTGGATTTTGACTTTTGAACTGTTATACTGAAGTACCCGTATCTCCCGTATCAGAGAGAAACTCTGTCTATACTATTGAGCCGCGTGTTATTGAAGTTATATAAGCTAGCAATAAATCCCATCAATCAGAGCAAGAACACATCTGACCCTCACCTCCCTCTGCAGAGAACACAGTAACCACCTCGCTGAAGGGCCCGTCTCCTTTGTTGTTATACACCCCCACCCGCACCTCAAACGGGGTGAGAGGGGGGAAGGTCTCGTCTCTGTATTTATAGGTGGTGGAGTCTGCCGAGGTCACCATCTTCTCTTTCCACCCACGTGTGCCATTGGCTCGGAACGCCACAATGTAGCCAAAACCTTCTCCATTTTGGAATTCTTCAGAGACGGGCTGAGGACGAAAAAATAAATAAATTATTATGAGCTCTGGATCCATTTCCAGGCAGATAATGTTTAAAAGTCACACTGTTTACACTAATTCTTAAAATATCGCTCAAAATATCCGAGTTTGCTTAAGGACAAAAATATTTCTCTGCAACTGGATCGGAAATTGGAAAAGGATCCTAATAACACACAGCCAGCTGAGCACTGAGAAATGAGGGAAGGGTAAACGGCTGTGCAGCAGGTAACTTATGAAGACTTTTGCTTGAGAATTATCAGCCCTGAAGATGTAGTCTGGCCAATTATTTGACTCCGGCACAACTCATACTTCCTGTGTAATGTGAAAAAATGTGCTATTTTCAGGTCAGCTTAGATGCTGACATCTTAGGCAAGTTTTGCATCATTTTCGCTTGCTCTGCTGGTGCTAGTTAAAAATAAGTAAAATGCAACTAAATTCAAGTTTAAAATTCAATCATGTACCCAATTAACTGTGTGGAAACTGAATGTTAAAAGCATATTATGTTAAAGAGTCAACGCAGCAGTGCTGGAACAGAGACACTGACATCTGAACTTTTAGCTCTTATACTAATAATCCTTTGAGCTTTCAAGGTATCAGAACCAGCATTTATTTTATTATTATTTAAGCCAACATGAAATCAAAATTGAGCATTCTTAAAGGAATAGTTCACCCAAAATGAAAATGCTGTCATTAATTACTCACCTTCATGTCATTCCAAACCCATAACATCAAACATATATAGAGCTCATTAAACATAGCAAACAGAAGTTAAATCATATTGCTTAATGTACAAGAACAAAACTCATTGGTTCTCACACATCAAACAAGCAAATTTGAATTTTTTGATGCATTAATGTTTTGGGTGAATGGACTTTCAGTGGAGGGTTTCATTAAAATATTTTTACTCGTGTTCTGAAGATGAACAAAAGTTCTTATGGGTTTGGAACGGATATGGGGGCGAGTAAATGATTAGATGAGTAAATGACTGTTTTCTTTTTTTTTTTTGGCTGAACTATGCTTTAATTGCAGGTTCCAGGTCTTATGGTGAATTATTCATCAGTACACATTATTCCAAACAATAAAATCAAAACATTAAAATCAATAACTCTTGACTCCATTCTTGTTAGCAATGCTCACTTTTTACAATCCAGTCTGTACCTTATGGATTAAATCATGTCCCGCTCTAAAAAATTTTTTTCTCTGGTTTGAATATTCAGCACTCTTAAAAACAAGAGTCCCAAAAGCAGGGTTTCATAATGATTCCACAGAAGAGTCATATTTTTTGTTTCCCAAAAGAAACTATAAGTTAATAGTTCTTAAAGAACCACAAGTGTTTACATATGGTTTGAGATGTAAATTGCGACCTCGTTACGGAGGATGATCAGATATTGCTGTTAATTCACTCAAATAGCGTGCTTAGCATGCTAAGAAAAGTGGCTATAGATGCCAATAAATAACCTTTATTTAACAGTGTGTTTCATTCAGAAATGTTACATGGATTTCAAATGGCATGTTGACTTGATGAACTTTAAGGGACAATATTTGCCCATTAGAGAGGATTTTCCGGGGCATTTTACCTTTATTTAAATAATAGATAATCCACTAATTAATTATTTAAGGATGTTTCTAAAAATGATTCACACATAAATTTGTTTTGCTCGTGTTTCATGAATGAAGCCCAGCGTATTAAAGCTAACTAGCAACGCGCCAACAATGCGCCTGAACACACCTCGTTTTCAGACCAGCACGCCCAAATGGGCGCAAATGCATTTGCTATTTAAACAACGTGGCGCAGGATGTGAAAATGATAACAGCGTTGGGCTGAAACTAGCAAAAAACTATTGCGTCGCGCCTGACGCCGCATTGCGCCAGGTGTATGATAGGACCCTCTAACTGCTCAATGCCTTTTATGTGGCAGTTTACAACACAGGCTAAATTTACAACATGCCCAATATTTGGCTGAGCCACAAAGCTCCCCCCCACACAGCTTCAAAAACACACAGAAGCTTTAAACATGTATCCAATAAATAATTTAAATCTCCATATTTTTCCAGTTAAATGACATCCTTTGTTATGTTGGTTCAGAGAAAGAAGCAACACTAAATTGCACTGAATTACATCAAAATGTCAGAGAGTCCCAAATGAATCGGGGAGATTTTCAGTTGTAATGAAACAGATCACTTGTGAATGTCAAGCGCTTTGATGGTGAGCCTGAACACATCAATTAAAGATGTGCTAATCCAACACATCCAAGACTCAGCATACAGCGAGAGCTCGCCATTGTTCTGTGAACCATATCAATGTCTTTTCAAAGGGCTTGGTTCAGGCCCTCGAGTAAATAAACTGCGCGGGTGACGACATTTTGTGAATAACGAGTCAAATATCAAATATCAATCTGCGGTATAATGGCTGTGTCTCTGGAAATCACCTAGTGAATGATGAATGCTAATGCTCTGCTCTAGCTTGAAGTCCTTCTACACTTCACTGTTTAAAATACACAGTACCAATATTTTATTTATTATTATGCACCTTTTCCCTGTCAACCAGTTTTTGACATTACACACAAATGTTTTTATGTTCAATAAAAGCAGTCCACAACTTTTGTGAGAAAAAACAAAAAAAACATTAATTTATTTGCTGAAAATATTTCTGCTTCAACACAACTTTAAAATATGATGTGAATTCTGCACATTAGCTGCACAATGTAGTTTAGCATGTAACGTCTCGGTTACGTATGTAACCCTCGTTCCCGGAAGGATGACCGACGAATTGGGATCTTGCTTAGAGAGACCAATCCACTTCGAGTGTAAACTAGAAGAGACAATGCACATTGGCATGCGATCATTGCATCCAGCTGCTGCTGATCGCAGCGCGAGTATAACTAGAAACAAGAAGGCCAGTCACTGTTGTCGTAGCACTATCCACTCAGTGAGATTGGATAACACTGGGAAAACGTACTCGTTCCACTTGGAACAGGAACATTGCGGAAGCCCCATCCTTCCCGAAGGAGGTTTGGAAGCACTTACACATATGATCAGCCGTTTAGGTGCATATGGAAGATTAGAGGTGATTGTAACTCTCTTGGAAAATGGCAGAAAGTCAGCCGGGGAAACACGGTCTCTGAGGCTATACCGTGGACTTTAAACATATGGGATACACTTAAGTCTCTACATATGGAACCCAGCCCTCTACCGGTTCTCACGGATTCATCGAGTGAGGGTCTGGTGCCGGACATTCCGCCACGTCTGGCTGTCAAGGGGATGGAGGAGCTCGACAGGGTCTACAGTACAGACTCTCTGGAGCGGTTTTAGCAAGCCAACACTAAACCGGGGCCTCTCAGTGCTTCTACCCATTTGAGGTGAGAACACAGGAGGATACCGGCTCCACACGAAGGCTATAGAATCTAGCGAACGTGTTAGGGGTTG